TGGTTCATAGTCCTGGGTATTTACAATAGTAAATAGTAATAACTATTAATAAAAAAGAAAATGGACCAAATTGAAGTTAAGAGTGGGAGACATTCACAGGCAGTCTTGGACATTTATCTGTTTTAATCATTAACCATTCACAGGCAGCTAGAATGTAGGGGAGAGACTGATTTCGACAGATATAGGACAAAGAGGGAGGCGGGGAAATGGGGTGCACTCAATTGCGACTCTTTGGGAGTTCTGTGCTTGCATACGTTAAATAAATTGTACACAGTTTAGTGATACCCAGGGCCAGGGAGTTAAAAACACTTGATTGATAAATTATTAACGAACATTGTCTTTATGTAGCTCTTTGAAACATATGGTTCTTGTTTTGGTTGAATATTTTTAAAAAGGCAGTCGGGGAGAGATGCTGGAAGTTAAATATAAGAGCTAACTCACTTCAGCTGCACAAGTTGCACTGTAGCTTTCTGTCATGAATTCAGCAATTGTGAATGTAGGCATTCATTCTGGTAAAAATATAGGTAATTATAATAGCACTTTTACCCTGACAAGGGAAAGTTATCATATAATTCTATAGTTGAGTAATGCTTGAGATGAGGAACAATTTCAGCAGGTTGGAACTTGAAGTTCTCTGGTACACACACACACATACATACATACATACATACATACATACATACATACATACATACATACATACATACATACATACATACATACATACATACATACATACATACATACATACATACATACATACATACATACATACATACATACATACATACATAACATACATACATACAACATACATTACATACATACATACATACATACATACATACATCACACACACACACCACACACACACACACACAACACACACACACACACACACACACACACACACACACACACACACACACACACACACACAGACACACACACAGACACACACACACACACACACACACACACACACACACACACACACACACACACACACACACACACACACACACACACACACACACACACACACACACACACACACACACACACACACACACAACACACAGACACACACAGACACACACAGACACACACAGACACACACACACAGACACACACACACACACACACACACACACACACACACACACACACACACACACACACACACACACACACACACAACACACACACACACAGACACACACACACACACACACACACACACACACACACACACACACACACACACACACACACACACACACACACACACACACACACACACACACACACACACACACACACACACACACACACACACACACAACACACACACCATCATAAAATAAGAATATACTAAGGCAGTAATGTAAACATTCTCTCAATAAACCACATTAATATTTGTTGTCTGCTGATCCTGTTTCATTGGAAGATGTGTTGTAACAATATACTTCCTGGAAATGAGGTCAGAATTATGCTTTGACTGGCAAGTGCAAATATCCTTGAAATATTAGTTAAATCTCAGAAATAGGAACTTCCTTAGCAACAAATGAAATAAATTGACATCTAATTAGTTTAACATGCAGTACTCAAGTGGGTATTTAATTATATCATTTAGGAAAGAATAAGCATACTAAATTCCTTTGAGTTTTATGCTACTTTATTACAAAATCAATATCATAAATCCACACATTCATACAAAATGACTTTTCTTATTCACAGTCAACCCCTACTACTAAAACAAAAAATGTAAAATAAAATAAAATGTATGTTAAGAAATGTACAATGCAACTGAACATTAGTAACGTACAGTGAACATACTCTTCATAAGAACATGCCTGGACAAGTCACAACTTCTACCAGGAATCGTGAGGAAAATTACAAGAATATGTAACAATATTTTAAGAATCCTCACACTCAATGAAATTACTATCAATTATAATTTTTATTTATTCATTATCAATTGCGATTTTATGCCTTCAAGAAATCTGTACAGGTGGTAGTAATTGTTCCCCGTAGATCTGATAATATATGCATCATATACAGTTATTTAAAACTAAATTTGGTAGTGTATATATGTGTATATACTCTAGTTGTATGTCATCATTTGCTGAATTTGTGATTAGGCCAAATGGGTCTTAATGAATTGATGAATGAACTATTAAATGAATGAATAAAGAGAGCGAGAAAGACCGAAAATGAGCATGTGTGAGTAAGTGTATGTGTTATATATGTGAATGAGTGTGGATGTCCTTGTGTGTATATGGCCATCTTCCTTCATATTCCTACAATCTCCATAAGTTTGCCATTTCAGTTTTATACATGGGGCATTTCTATCTAATTTTCAAATACAAAAACTGTAACTCTCTTAGGCTGTAACAAAGGTAATTTGTATAGGACAATTGTACCCAAGGCTACTAACGATAGGGAATAACCAACATCTTTCTTATCCAGTTTACACCACTGAAGTTCCATTTTCTTCCTTCCTTCAGTTCTTCCTATTATTTCCGCTTCCTTCCCTCCTTCTGGCCAATCCTCTCCTTATTTCCTGACATTGGCATTGTTGTTGGCAGCTGGGGCTGCACGCTTCTTGACAGTGGGCCTGTCGAACATCTGCTTCATCCCACCTGCATTGCCATTGAAGAACTTGTGGTTCATTTGTGAATCAGCAGCCCAGGGGGAGTCGAATGAGGTGGTGTCCTGGTCTACAAGATGCGTGTACTTGGTCCGACCCGAACGACCAAAGTTCTTGACTTGCATGACCTGGAGTGGCAAATTTGGGCTTTAAGAATTTTGATTAAAAAAAATAATAATTATGTAAAGTCAAAAAAAGAAAAAGAAAAAAAGGAGAGAGAGAAAAAAGTATATATACATACATACATGTATATATAAAAAAATAGAAAAAGAAAGAGAGAAGAAAACTAAAACAAACAATTCCCTTGCACAAATAATAGAATATCTTAAAAATTTCCTCACTTTAGGCAGAATAGTCTTATCGAAGTGATCTTCAAGCGTTGCCCCGGAGAAGTCCCTCTTGAACACATCCTCCTCCTCGTCCAGGAAGAAAGCGCCACGGTGGTAGTACTTCTGCAGGAACTTGTACTTCCCCTTTGTAGCTTTGTTGGTGATGACCTAAAAGGAAAAGGGAGTTTGGGTTTTTGAAATCATGTGAAATCATATAATCATATATGTATATGTGTATATATGAATATACACATATGGCTTAGATACTGATATGATAACACATATTATCTTATATTTATCACTACTATATATTGCTATCACTTATTATTATTCATCATTAACATATGCCAACCTTGGGATTGTTACGGAGCTCAATTCGTCTCTCTTCCTCCGTCATGTTTCTCAACTTGTCAATCTCCTCTCTCTCCTTCTCTGCAGCTTCTCGTTCCTCCTGTTTAAGCACAAAAGTGAAAATACATAATTTTTAAAAAAATTTAACATGTGAATTAAAACAATAATACTGTTTTTTTTATCTGTGTAAATGTAACCGTATGAAACCTTATGACAAAGTTGTATTTTTTTCCTGCACCAGACTGAGCCAAGTGAGGCCACCAGGTACAGGCAGCCACTTGAATGAAAAAACACAAGTACAGAAAACATATTTTTTAGGGAATGGCACTGTAAATAGCCCTTAATCCCACTTTTTAGGGCCTGAAACTCCTTTTTTAACTGCAGTCAAGGCCAAACAAGCAATCAATTGTTTAGCAAACAAAACATAAGAGCCATGCAACCATCCTGCATGTTGCCATGGTTAATCATAGCATTTTAAAATACTGATTATAAACAATGGGTGGCAAGCTAGTGATATCCAGTAGTAGCCTTCTAAAACATACAAGATGACATCAGTGGTCAAAGACCCTTCCTAACACCAGTGGTCAAAGACCTTTCCTAACACAAGTGAAGGTGTTAAATAATTAAGAACACAAATCTATATGAAGTCTAAGAAACTTAACTGTCAAAACCCACACAAAAAATATATAAACATATATAACCATTCACTAATAGAAGAAGCAAATGCAGCAACTCTCAACAAGCAATATACAAGAGCAAATATCCAAATATTTACAATCTGAACCCAGTGCTCTATTTGAGAGAGACCCCCAAGCATTCCTTAGAAGTATTCTATCTGTGAGGATTTTATGGCCCCTTAACTCCCACTGTATGTCTTCTGCTGTCAGTCAACCATAATGACCTATTAGAACAGCATTCTTCCTTACAGAAATCACATCATCCATTTTATTCACTGATTAATTGTCAATATCAGTGTTTTATTTCAGACTTCAAATTATTTGTACTAAACATCAAACTAAGGGATCTCCACCCTATAAGAACTTGACATTCTATATATAAGTGAAAGATACTATACTAGTCATTTATTTAGCAGATGTTAGCAAACATATAATATTATGACAAAATGTATGAATCCTTTTTACTTTAGAGTAGAATAAGAAACTAAAACTGACAGATACCAATTAATCTTAAAATCTCAAATAGCAAAATAATATATATATATATTTAAAACCTGAAAAGATAAACAAATGTTTCAATGTAATCTGTACACACCTATATGGAATCTTTAGAGAGTAAAATCTACTTGTGATTACCCTTTCTGAAACTCAAAACATTTATACTCATGGTAAAATGTTATCCTAAAAATAGCACATTACCTTATCTCTCTTTAATCTTCTAAGTTCCCGCAATTTCCATAGTTCATATTCTGCATCGTCAGCTTCATCATCTGTGTTGATGTTATCGATGGGATCTCCATTTTCAATAGCATTCCGGATGTTGGCTGCCTGGCGGTGCTCGTGTTCAATCATGCGGAGTGTTTCTCTACGGCGCTCTTCTACCCTCTTCCTGGTTTCTACCTCTTGCTACAAGAGGATAAATGGTTATCTTTAGAAACATATTTCTCATTATTCAAAAATATTAGAAGACAGATAAACAAAAAAATTAATTTAGGAAAAGATGACCAAGCATTTGCATACAAGCACAAAGATCTGCATTTGTTTGAGCTCCCGAACTTGATTATATTATCTGAGTCTTACCTGTTTTACTTTGGCCTGCTCTTGTTCCTTTTGGTGAATCGTGACTCTGTCTTTTCTTCTGACAAAAACTGGTTTTAGTCTCGGCCCTTCCTCCTCTGAGTCTGTCTCTTCTGAATACTCTGAGCTCTCTTCTTCTGACGATTCCTCGCTGCCTTCCTCTTCTTTGCCCAACAACTAAGAGAGAGAAAAAGAAAGAGGGAGAGTCCAATCAGACAACTGTGACAACAGAGGTGAAGTCAGCAATACGCATGTTAGATAGTCTTTTCAATCTGATTTCATTTCTTAAAATAATATTGACATGTCAAACTCACCTCCTCCTCTTGCTGGATCTTCTGCAATGCTCGCTGACGGAGGTTGAGGCGACGCGAGGCCAGCTCACTCTCATCAACCTCCCCTTCTGATTCACTGTCTGACTCAGCCAAGCGATGGCTTGTGCGCACTTCTGGTCGTACAGGTGGGATATCTGGCATTTCATCAGACATATCTTCTTCATGCTCTTCCTCTTCTCTCTCTTCTTCGCTCATGTCCACAATTTCAGCCTGGTAATAAGAATAATAATTATTATGTTGCTTACATACCATTAAAAATAATTACACCTTTATATCTCTGATTATAACTTAGAAATTCTCCTAGAATAGCCTGTTAAAAAAAAAAATTCTCAGGGGATGGGGTGGGGGCTCACAGTGCCCCAGAAACTATTTGGACTCACTTTGCTCACCAACCTCTAAATGAGTAGAATTCTGTCATCATCAAAGCCAAAAAATAATGTACATGAGTAATAATGCCACATAAAGAAAAATTAAACCTAGACAGAAATATATCACCATAAATTAACAAATTATCCAAGCTGAGCCTCTAACCTGATGTACAACTCTCCTTCTCGGCATTTCAACCTCTAACTCGTCCTCACTGGGCGGCCTCTGTCGGTTGGCCAGCAGACGCCGCAGCCTAGGGTCAGCCATCTCAGCCTCTGTAAGGGACTTGTGTGTGGGGGGTGAGGGAGGAGCAGCACCTCGTGGTCTGGTGAAGTCTTCATCCTCTTCCTCTTCTTCATCTGATGATGCTGGGGCATAGTCTGGTCGCTTTCCACTCACGTAACGCTGCACTTTCACTTTTTTCATGGACACCTCACCTGAAATGATCCATGGACTCTTGTTATTTCTTGGCATGTAGAAAGTACGGAATCGGTACTCGGATATTACGGAAATAGGCGAGCCAAACCAGCCAATTGAAATGCGTTAGGTATTTTGAATTCCAAACATTGAAAACCAAGACGGTGGCACCCCTGACACCTCCTGCGCCTGCGATTTACAAAACGAGATGCATGGACAGTGCAAAAGGCGAACAGCTTACTGAAACCAGGCCCCGGTGGCCAACAGCCAACTCTGTACACCGAGGCTCTGATGTACGCATATGCTACATATTGGTGCAAGCATGGCAGTTTGTATGTCACAAGAGGCAGGGGAATTCGCAATAGTCAGTGGTATGATTTCTGTTTTTTTTTTTTTTTCATTCATTCATCACAACGCAAAAAGGTGGCCTTAGGGTACCATTTGACAGGTCAGGTCAGGTCAGGTCAGATATCCGTGTAAATAACCGCTTCTGTGTTAGGAATCAGTACACTGATCTCTGTGGACGTAGGAATGACTTTCGGGTTTAGGTACATGGATCTACGTACGGAAGAATCACGTTTGGGTTTAGGTACATGGAAATCCGTGTACGGAAGGCTGATTTTTCACCATCTGTGTATATAACCCAAGCCTATACAATTTGGGAATTATGTATTAAATCCTATTTTTTTCATTTTCTATGATAACCTTTAAGAACTAGAATATTTCACCATGTAACACATCTGATTTATAATTAACGAGTAATATGAAATCCCCACTTACCATTTTCATAAAGTAAGACTCAATATAATTTATAATGGAAATAATGCTAAAACATAGTTCTATATGAGTAATAAACGGGATAACCTTGTTTAGTCTTTTTTATAAAATTACTTTTATTACTCCTCTATTACATTTTCTGAAAACTTGCACTGACCTTTTAAAGCAAAAGTCAAAGCACTAAAGATTATCCTAAAATCTTTATACACCTCTTGTAAAAATACATACAATACAAAAAATACATAAGCTAAATAACAGGCTGGTTGACATGTATGCTAGAAATTGCATACATATCTTTTTTAATATAATAGCAGCTTACATTGTTGCTATTTTTCCTGCATTTTTCCTGCATAACCCTAATACATTTCATGGTCTCCCCTCCTACTGGGATTAATACTGTCGCTATAATTGAGTTCAGCCGGACTAAATCATAATATTTACTTCAGAGTAACTCCCAAACATCAGTCACAGGGTAAACAAGACACAGAATTGACAGATTGATAATGCTCGTAGAAGTGAACCAAAAATCTCTTTACGAAACTACCTGATACTTTAATGTCAAATAAGGAAACATTCTAAGATTTATCTTATCAGAGCAACATAATGGACACAGTGACATTTTTCTAAAGCCTGGTGTAATGAAGCCACTGCAACTTATTAATTCCAAGAGCTGTCATTAATCGATGGTGGAAGGCAGGGGCTGTACAATTACCACTGTCTGATTAACAAGTACAATTGACAGCCCAGCCATACCAGATTCGCTGGCATCAGTTGATAATTGTCCTCGAATATAATAATTGAAAATAGGCTTAAGGGTGTTCAAATTGGCATTCTGGAAGATATTTGACACGTCCCTTGAGACTTTCATCAGTCTGTCGTGGTTTAAACATACCTTTATCATTCATAATAGGGACGGCTCCTGCGGTTGATTGGATCCCCATGGGCTGGGCTGCCCCCGGAGGAGCAGTCCAAGAAGTATTATCCATTTTGAGCCTCCTTTTACGTCAGAAAAAGAGAAATAAGACGCAGGATTCAGGAATAGCAGCCACACTCGCTCGCGGTCAATGTTTACGTTTTCTCGACTCGGGTATGGCACCTTTGGAATCTTTTATTTTTTTTATTGTGGTTTATATTCGTAGTCTCTGTGTTTAATAGTTTCAATAGAAATAATTTTTAAATCAAATTGTGTACTTGTTTTGTTATTTTCAAGATTCATTATATTTGATGTGAGGGTTTGTTGGTGATCATATATTTCTAATGGTTAGTATCGCTTCGTAACTGATGTGATATGTTTTTTATGTATCAGATAACATATATTACTACATTTCAACACTATAGAAACACACAGTATAAAAAATTAAAACATTGAAAAGCTGACAACCCTAACCCATGTGTTCACAATCCAAACACAAAAACAAAACAAACTATGACAGATTCCCAGCGCTTTCCAGCCATAATCACTTGACGTTTATATATCCCCGAGTGTCTCAAATTGCCTTTATTCCTCACCTGTCGTTAGTTAAGGCGGCGACATGATTGGGCTGACCGTCACGAGGAACCAGATTTTGGCGAGAAATTCCGTCTCTTTGAACATCCTAAAACGACACAAGAAAAGGGTAATTAATTGCCTTTTATCTTTGTGTTATTTAGTGTAGGTCTTAAATGGATGTGATGGAGTTGGTGGCTAGTTTGTGGCTTGCTTTCTTAGCCTACTCTTCTACATTTATTTTTTTTTTGCGAAAAACTACTAATTTTATAATAATGTTGATGATAATGATAATGTTGATGCATGGAATTAAGGCTAGGCACGGGCTGAATCAGCCATATAGGGATATATCGATGAATCTTGGTACAATGCAAATAGATCTTTGGTGTAGCAATTTTTCTTGGCTAATGGCAATCTCGCGCAGAAAATCCGTCTCGGAGTACGACCACCCTCCACACTCTGCCATCGTGGCGACTATGACTGACTTCTGAACGCGACGGTTATTTGGGTTAGGAATACAAATGTCGTTATTCCAGAGGAAGGGAAACTCGACTTTGAGGCCATCGGTGTACATACCGTGTTTATCCTGATTATACTACAATCGTCTCTATATACAATGCTGACTATAATAAGGTTAATATGCTGATTCAGTGAGAATCTTACGAGGTAATACGCCCCCTGCTCCGATCGAATGATTGTGTAACGCTCTAGCCTGCCGTGAATACGTGGTGGAGGTTTTGTTTCCTCGGCGGGGGTTGGGGAGCGGCAGCCCCCTGCAATGGAAAGTTATGTGAATAACCATGGTTATTTTCACTGTGCGTTATATTATTAGTGCTATTTAACCCGCATTTTCCCTGGAACCTTTCATGCCCTCCCCTGCTATCGGGGCCAAGTTTGTCGCTAACGGGGGGTTAGCGCGCAATAAAAACTATATATTTGCAATGTGGAGAGTGAGAGGAATCCAACGATACCAAAATTGTCGATATCGGTCATGCGGACGTAATATAGAAAATTACCGCCATATATTTTTTAATCACAATATATTTTGATTTTTAGTTTTTATCCATAAGTATTTACGAAAACATCCATTTTATTTTTGGCTCTCTGGCAAAGGGACGTGAACCACCAGGGTGTTAGGTCAACAATCCTTATAGCACAAGAATATCAGTGGGGGAGCTGTGTTGTCCTTTACCAGAGTGCCAGAAGTACAGAGGGGAGTGTCAGTTGATTAAGTGTTATTGTCATTTAATGCCTTTCTCTTCTCTCTTCAAAGAAGGAAATCATCACAAAGTATTCACTAAATGATTTTAAAAACCACAATTTTTATCCCCCCAGGATCGAGAGCCAAAGGTGACGAACACCCAGCGAGCGTTGGAATACTTTGATGTCGCCTACGCACCTGTTTACGGCACACGTTGGCCCTCAGTAAGGCTAGCTCTCCTCTCCAAGCCAAAGTATATCGCCGTGCTCAATAACTTTGCTAGTTATGAAGAGACGATTGATAGGTTTCAGGTCAGTGCAGGTCAACTGGTCCAGGTCCCTCATTTGAAAAAGTTGATTAACAGAATTATAGAAACACAAATTTGATATGTTTAGTCTATATGAATATGAATGTTAGCACAGGAATTAATATGTTAATATGGGATGTAAGTTTAATAGAATCATAATGTTTGAAATGAAGATTGATAGAAATGTTAGTTTTGAAAAGCAAGTCAGTATATATATATAAAGGTTCATAGTAAGATTAGATAATTTAACATAGATTAAAAGAGACCAATTGGTTTAAACATACAATTTAACACACAGAACCTAGGGGCCTGGAACATCGGAAAAAAGTACTCCGCTATAAGGGAAAAAATGAGAATGAGACAAGAGCAAAGCCAGACAGTATCCCAAAATCAACAAAGAGGAGAAACGGATGAAGAAACAACTACCGGGAAGTCTGTGAGACCTTCCCTGATTGAGGTATGTGGTCAGGGATGTGCTTTATGTCCTATTAATTACTGATTCTCAAAAGAAGATGATGAAAAATCAGAAACAAAAATTACAAGCGTAAATCCTACCTGAGAAGTGAAAATAACAAGATTTATAGATTTAAATTGATATTCACTTTGGGATCAATATCATAGCTGCTGAAAATGTTTAAATCCCTAGAAAATAAAACCAAACTAAAAATTGAAAATATATTGATGCTTATCTTCTGAACACCAGCTATAAAGACTGTAATCGTAGTAGGCATTTACCCCATTCAAAAATCAACGGTAAAATCCCCACAGCTTGATGATGATGAGCTGGCAGCCAGGGCTAGGGTAGTGCCCAAAGAACGTTATCCAGAGGAGTACAGACTGCGTGCAGCAGCCCAGAGTCCGGCAGAGCTTGAAGCAGATTTAGCAAGTCGAGTGATAGAGCCCTCAGAAGCGGGAGGAAGTAGCCTGTTGATGGACTATGTACCTGCTACTAGATTAAAGGTGGGTGATGTGTGGGTTCTCTTAGTCTCTGTCTGCCTATCCCTCCCCTCTGCTCTCTCTTCTTCCTGTTTTTTACCCTTCCCCTCAGTCTTCTCTTTTGTCTCTCTCACTCCTTTCTCCTCTCTTCTCTTCTTTTCTCTGTAATCTCCTTGCCTCTCTTCTTTCCTTATTCTCCCACCCCTCTCTCCTTCCCTTTCACTCCTTTCTGCATTCCTCATGTCTTTACCTCTCTCCAATATACTTGTAACCTCTTCACCCTTGCAGTAAACTAAAATTGATAAATAAAGACCAACAGATTGCCAACTTTTGTAATACATTTTGTTTATTTCTATGTTTACTTGTATTTTCCTAGGGCTTGGAGAATTGGGTGGAAGAAGCTGATGTTTTCACGGATGCTAGTCAGGGTGATCAGGAAATAGGTGTCACAGTTATCAAACAAGAAGAACCCATTGATTTCCCCAAGATGCTGAAGATATTTGCATTCGAGAAGGGTAACATCTCAGATTTTCCTCAGGTGAATTTAAGTTGTAATGAGTTTGATTTGAGATGCATTGTTGTGTTTATGGACTTTTGTCTTTATGGTTTTTATTTTAGACCAGTAGATTGCATGTGTATGTGTATATTTGATGTGCATATATAAGCCTAAAGTCATATTCCTATCAAAAACAAGGTAAGGGGGATAAAAAATACAAAAAACAATCCACAAGGGGGGGGGGATGATATATAAAATCAAAAAAAATCACACCCTCTTGTAATTTTTCAGCCCAGATTTGACCCCCAGCTGAGAGTCTTGGACCATTATGCGATGGACGGGGCCTCGCTCCTGCCAGTCCTGGCTCTAGACGTTAAGCCAGGTGATCGCGTCCTCGACATGTGTGCTGCTCCTGGTGGAAAGTCACTGCTGGTGCTCCAGACCCTCTTGCCTGGTATTTATTGTGAAGTTTGCTTGCTTGCTTGCTTTCTCTCTCTCTTCCTCTCTCTCTCTCTCCCACTCTCTCTCTCTCTCTCTCTCTCTCTCTCTCTCTCTTCTCTCCGCTCTCTCTCTCTCTCTCCTCTCTCTCTCTCTCTCTCTCATCTCTCTCTCTCCTCTCCCTCTCTCTCTCTCTCTCTCTCTCTCTCTCTCTCTTCTCTCTCTCTCTCTCTCTCTCTCTCTCTCTCTCTCTCTCACTCTCTCTCTCTCTTCTCTTCTCCCTCACTCTCTCTCTCTCTCATCTCTCTCTCTCTCTCTCTCTCTTCTCTTCTCTCTCTCTCTCTCTCTCTCTCTCTCTCTCTCTCTCTCTCTCTCTCTCTCTCTCTCTCTCTCTCCCTCTCTCTCTCTCTCTCTCTCTCTCTCTCTCTCTCTCTCTCTCTCTCTCTCTCTCTCTCTCCTCTTCTCTCATCTCTCTCTCCGCTCTCTCTCCTCCTCTCTCTCTCTCTTGCTGCTCTCTCTCTCTTCTCCCTCTTCCTCTCTCTCCCTCTCTCTCACCTCTCTCTCTCCTTCTTTCTCCGTCTTCTCTCCTCTCTCCTCTCCTCTCTCTCCTCTCTTCTCTCTCTCTCTCTCGCTCACTCTCCCCGTCTCTCTCCTCCC